CCCCCCGAGGACATGACCTTACTCTACCATCCCAGACCACCGCCACTATACCTACGACAGACTACAGAAAACACTAACAAGGACCCAAACTAGAAAATAACAGGTAGCAACTACAAGAACTCTAATAATATGCTAAAAGTGATGCTAACTAAATAGCCACAATTTAACTATCATAAAGAAAGAGACAGGAATGGGGGAAGTACCAACTCCCGATGGAAAGAACCTGGAAATATGACTTGATGCACCCGAGGTCACATAAATTTGTCGTGCGTCCTTCCAACTCTCGCCAACCTTTGCACACACTAGCCGGTGATGCTCCGCTCTGCTCGCCCATATGCCTCGCGCTCGCCTCGGCAGCCGCAAAAAAATCGCACACAACCACCACGAAACCAACAGGGAGGGGGGCTGTCAACCTGTCGCAGGGGTGGACCTGGACAGACTCGAAAAGGGGGGGACAACAAGGAGGGTCATCGGCCAGAGGTTGCCGGCAGGGCTGCTAGGGTTTCGGAACTGAAATTTGGGCTCAAGAAGGGTTGGGAAAAATGAGCAGTAGGGAAAGAGAGACAGGTTTAGGGGGATAAGAGAGAAGAAGGGAGAGAGGAGAAGAGAAGAAAGACAGAGGAGATGCGATTGGAGGTCGCCGGCCAGAAATTACTGGCGTTAAAACAGAGGAAAGAGAGAGGAGGGGGGAGGAGAGAGGAAGGGAGAGAGGATGGCTTACCTGAGGTTGCCGGCGCCGGCGGTCACGCCGGTGGAAAATCAGTTGGTAGAAGAGAGAGCACTAGCGGGGAGAGAGAAAGCCGTTATTATTCAATGTAATAATCTCTCACATAGTTATATTTTGAAAATTAGTACATTAATTTCTGGAACTCTCACTCTGCTAGATCATGTCTAAGCTTGTCCAGTCTTCATTTAAAGAACTCTTTACTTCAGTTGCCAAGTGAAGTTTCTATTCCAGTCTTGGTAACAAGTGCAATGCACTTAATTTTTTCGCAGGGCTTATTTTTGCCATCAGCAGTTTCTCTAGCTGTTCCTTTGGCTCTGCTGTCCCTTACAAGGTACATTTATAGCATAGACCTAAAGAGCTTCTTGAGTTTCGGAAATATTTCAAGCAATAGAGTAGGAAAGAAACTATATGTGATATTATTCCCATGTTCAGTGAAGTAAACGGGAAAGGACAAAATTCCGCAGATGTTCTGGCATCCGAACAGATGGCTCCTCGAGGACAGCTAGTTTTCTCAGTAGGACTTGGGGCTTTAGTGTTTGTACCAGTTTTCAAGGCCTTGACTGGTTTGCCACCATACATGGGTATGCTGCTTGGACTGGGAGTTCTTTGGATAATCACAGATGCAATTCACTATGGAGAATCAGAAAGACAGCGACTGAAAGTACCACAGGCTTTATCACGCATTGACACTCAAGGAGCTCTTTTCTTCCTTGGAATCTTATTGTCCGTTAGCAGGTATTGAAGAATCCTTTGGGTTAATTGTTTCTGCCTCCAATATTGTAGCAGAATTGTTAATCTATCATGACATATTCTCATGTGTCTTAATACATGCTTGTTTGTGCAAAATTCACATATTTCACATTAATGCAATCTTGTTCCTTTTTTGCTTCTATTGACTAGAACAATGTTCTGGTCTTTTCTACTATGAGATGTCAGTTAATTACTGAATTTGGCAAAAGATAAAAATAAATTGTGGTTGACAGCAAGAATTCTGGAACTTGGATTGCTGTAGTGCATCCTTCACTACTTGAGTAAATATTTTATGGAAAAATTACATATTTCTTCCTCTCCTTACAGCAGCATAGTAATAAAAAAAATGCACGTAAAACCCTTCTCTTGATAGAAATACTTAATGTAAATTACACGATCTTTTAAATGATTTGGAGCAATTTACATGAGGTAATGCACCCCATTCTGAAATGACGTGTAGACGATTGTCCCTATATATACCAACAAGGGTAGTGGTGTAGTGGTAAGTACTTCTTCATCCTTTAACCAGAGGTTTCGGGTTCGGGTTCGAGCCCTGGGTATGGAGTTGTTAGAGAGCACTTTACCCTCGGATTTAGTCGGACCCCATTGCGGATACTAGATATCGGGTTGAAAACCCAAAAAAAATAAAAAAAATGTCCCTATGTTCACTGCCAAATAAAAGTGATACTTCACCATATAATTTCATTTCCATATCCACAATCTTTTTCCATAGTTCTAAAAGTGGGGCATTTTCTCACTGGGGTGATCCAACCCCACCCAGGAAGCTGGTCAGGTGTTTCCCTCCTTTGGTTGGAGGATAGCATGATATTGGTGCGATAGATGTTGTGAGCTAGCTCTGTTCAAAAATCTGCAATCGAGGGCATTTGGTATGGATTAGTTCTAAGTATTTATTAAACGGAGTAACCCCACGGTGTGGGATAATACTGGGTATGTTGTTGTATTAATATGAGTAAACCTCTATAAGTGAAATCATTGGGAAAATCTTATTGTTCTTCTAGGATTGGGGGTGGGTGTAGGATCTATTACTCTGTGTTTTGCTCATGCACTGTGTGACTATCAACTGTTATCCATGCCATCTGAATTAGGAAGCTTAGCATTACTTAGCTGTTCTGGTGTATTAACATCCTTTCCATAGCTTGGAGGCAGCAGGTATTCTGCGAGAATTGGCAAATTACCTCGATGCTCATATCCCAAGCACTGAACTTATTGCGAGTGCAATTGGAGTTGTTTCAGCAATCATAGACAATGTTCCTCTGGTTGCAGCCACAATGGGAATGTACGACCTATCCTCCTTTCCCCAAGATTCTGAGTTCTGGCAACTAGTAGCATTTTGTGCAGGTACTGGTGGATCCATGTTAGTAATTGGCTCAGCAGCTGGAGTAGCATTTATGGGAATGGAAAAGGTCGACTTCTTTTGGTATATGAAAAAGGTACCACTGCTGCTATTTGATGCTCCACTTGGAAAAAAATAAACATTTCTGCTATTATAATTTGTTATTTTCTACTCTGCAGGTTAGTGGGTTTGCTTTTGCTGGCTATGCTGCCGGTATTGCCGCATATCTAGCAACACATAATCTCAACATCTCACTTCCCACAGCTCTGGCTCAAGTTCCTTTTCTTCATGGTTCATAACTCACTCAGATGGGCATTTGATCATTGAAGCTATTAGTACATCTTATTGTTTAGTGAGTGAGCAAATATATGAACACTTGACTTTTAGTGGTGGAGGTGAAATGTGTTGGCTGGGGGAGAGAGTGGGACTGAGGATTTCAGCTCCATAATGTAATTTATTGATTTGTCATTAATAAATTAATAATGTACTGTGAGAGTGCATTAATAATTTAGTAGAAACTTGAGACTGCTGGGAGATAACTTCTTATGCATGAGACGCAAGATCTATCGTCAAAGCTTAAGTTCAATTTAGTTAATTCAACAGGGAGCTCCCTTTATTCAGCATTACTTACCCAATGCAGGTAAAAATTCCCTTGTCACAGATGCGCAGGCTTGTCTTGGTTTGGCACTGCTTCACACCCCCAAAATATCTGATGAAACAATTACTAACATTATGTTTGAACTACGGGAGAACAACGAAATGCTCCATTTATTTTTCTAAGTATCAAACTAATTACCCTTCCTATCCATTGTAGCTTTTGTGGATAATTGTCTCTTTTTTCTTCTTTTCTTTTTCTTGTTTTTTATTTATTTTTTGCTCTTTTTTCTCCTTTTCTATGCATTTAATTTTTTTTCCTAATCATATTTTTTTTCTTTTTTTTTTCACCAGATTTCATACTCAATTTTGGCTCCTTATTTATTTATTTATTTATTTCTTTTGTTTATTTTCTTTATTTCTTGCTACTTTTCTAATTTCATTTAACTCTTTTATTTTACATAATCTTATTCTATTCACTTTTTTTGCTCCTTTTTTTTTTATATGCAGTAATAAAAGGTAACTGATACAGGAAACATTCGTTCACCTTTTCTTTATAACTGATATACTATATCTTCTGTCTTTTTTTTACTCATTTTAATTTTCTCTTAGTCAGTTATTAGAACAACTTATACATTAGACTTGTTTTCTCTTCTCTTTTTTTTCCTTTCATTTTATTTTTTTCTTCGTTTTTAATTCCATTTATTATTATTTTCAAAAAAAAAATTCCTTATTTCCTATTTTTTNATATATATATATATATATATATATATATATATATATATATAATTGATATAGTACATTTTATTTATTTATTTTTATTTTCATATTAATTATTAAAAAATAACTTATTCTAGCATATAGTATACCAAAAATAATATATTTGAAGTATATTGTTGCAGTATACTATGATACCCATATGGTATATATCATATACTGACATGGTATCATAGAGGACTGGTTAATTTCTTTATTAAAAAAAATGATTCAACAGTCCTCTATGATACCGTCATATAGGTCTGGTTCATTCTGTCTAGACTCACACTCAGTCCTCTGTGATACTAATATAGTATATATAACATACTGATAGGGTATTATAGAGGTCTGGTTCACTCATTCAAAAAAATATATTAATCCTGTATGGTACCCACATGGTATAATCATGTACTATCAGGGTATCATAGAGGATTGGTTCATTCCTTCAAAAAAAAAAAATTAATAGTATACCGTTGTAATTAATGATAGACTTTTGAATTAATTATTATATACCAATATGGTATACAATACAATATTTTGGTATACAGTACAAATTTGTCTTCTTTGGTAGTGCAATTCAATTTCAACCAAAATTTTAAATATCTACTCCAAAACCTCAACCAAATTGACTCACAATAGCCCCATCCTCCAATTAATATTTCGAACATGTCCCAATCAGAATCGGATCAAAACAACTACAAACTCCACAATTTCAATTTATGAGTTTCTAGTTTTAAGGTCCTCCAACGGCGAATTTGATTCTTGTCACAATAAGATCTCCAAAATTATTATTAATACCATAATTTACATATCATAGAACAAGACCCATTGAATTTCAATAATAAAACACTTCAAAACATATATGAAAATTCAGATCTGATATTTTAAACTCAAACACATGGAGTTAACTTTTTTTTTTTCCTTTCAGATATGAAATTTTTACTTAATTGAATTATGTGCTCAGCAAATTCAAATACTAAACAAATTACCAGCTAATTCAATACTTAATATAAAATAGAACTAAAAGAAAGATGGGGAGAAATAAGAAAAAGTTTAGCTCTTTCCAAAAGTAACAATCTTGGAGACAAAAAAGTAGAATTAAAAGAAAATTATTTTGTCATAACCAAAGAATAGCTAGGAAAGTTTGGCAGCTTGGTTTTAGGAGTTTTCTGTGACTTAAGGATTGGAGTTTCGGTAGATGGGTAATAAATTTTAATTGGGCGGGTATATTTTGTAATTATTTTAAAAATAGATTAAAAGGGTAATAAATTTGGGTTGTATAGCCATTTAGCGTGTAAAAATAGCACGGGATAGCGAGTTTTCGGAATGATCATTCAGAAATAGCCGGCGTTTGCAAAGTCATTGGAAAATAGCCACTATTTTGCTGCAACAGACAAAGTTCCAGCATAATAAACTAGAGATCGATGCACCTGTATATGAACTTCCAGCATATTATGCTGGAACTCCAACACGTGGAAAGTTCCAGCATAATATACTGGATATTAGAGCAAATGTATATGAACTTCCAGCATATTATGCTGGAACTCCAACACGTGGAAAGTTCCAGCATAATATACTGGATATTAGAGCAAATGTATATGAACTTCCAGCATATTATGCTGGACCGGTATATTATACTAGAACTCCAGTATATTATGCTGGAGTTCCAGTATATTATGCTGGAATTCCAATATGTTATGCTGGAATTCCAGTATGTTATGCTGGAGTATTTTCCGAATTTTGAACAGTGTTTTCGTTCATATTTCTCTTTATATGAAAAGTGACTAAATTTTGATTACTTTCGAAACTGTGACTATTTTTGAATGACTACTTGTAAATCTGGATATTTTTCAATTTCTCCCTTTAGCGTAGATTGCTCTTCTCTTAAAGCCCATAGAAATGCAAAAGGCCAAAGTCATACGTACCCGCTATTGCAAGCGTACTCACTTTTTCGCGTAACTGCAGCATACGGGGTTGAAGTAGCAAAGGCAATCACGCAAAAGTCCAGCATTCTAGTAGACAGGACTGAAGTAGCAAGTGTGGTGAAGTTTTTGTTTGTACTTGCTGAACTTAAGTATAGTAGCTGAAGTTTTGTTCTCTATTTGCTGAAGTTTCTGTTTGTAATTGCTGAAGTTTTTGTTTTGTAACTGGCGAACTTCAGCTCTAGAGCTGAAGTTTTTGTTTTGTAACTGGCGAACTTCAGAAGTTTTTGTTTTCGTAACTGACGAACTTCAGCTCTAGAGCTGAAGTTTTTGTTTTGTAACTGTCGAACTTCAGCTCTACAGCTGAAGTTTTTGTTTGTAACTGGCGAACTTCAGCTCTAGAGTCTTCTTCCCTTCATAATGATACAGCCATTTCTGCTCTAACTTCGAGAAGATTTCCAGCGTCATCTTACTGAACTCCATCTTTGAACATCGAAACAAGCAACGAAAGTAATTTACTGTACTGATGGATTATGCAATAGTTAATGGAAACTGCTCTCGATAAAACGGAAACGTTGTGGTATGCCATCCCAACATTTGAAGAATAGAAGAATTACAATAAGACTTGACACCAATATGTTGTTGCTAATGCCATGCATTATCAAATAGGATCTGTAGCTTCGTCGTAAACCAGTTGTATCAGCATTTAACAGATCATCTATTGTCACCATTCAATCAAGCAACAAGACTTCGATATTCTTCGGAGAGGCATTTATGATGCGAAATTGCACTATATATTTCTATTTTTTTCTTATTTATTTCTTCTATACTGACAGAAATACAATCTGTGCAGTGCGACTTCAGAAAGATGTTGAGGGCGGATATAACTTTGAGGAAGAGAAAGGGAGCTGAAGTTGTTTAAAAAGTGGGTACAAGTTAAAACTTTTAAAAAAATGGATATTGATTAAATCGGAGCGACCAAATATGACGCCCCGTGCAATTTTTACCCCATAAACTTGTTCGGATTTTCCTGTATGCCACTATATGTGAATCATGTTTCAATTAAACACTTATACTACTTAAACTTTGTTCCTATTAGACATTTTTTGCATATATGGCATAGTGGGTGTAATACTCCTATACCGAGTGAGGTATTTGTTCAACTTTTTTTTTTTGGCTAAATATAAATTTGGTTGATCGGCTAAAACTAATTGTATTTTTTTGCCAATATATATATATAGGTTTTATCGATTATTATTTTTGAGAATGGCCAAAAATTATACATTTATCATTTTTTTTTTGAGGATCTCTTCTTTATTCTTCCTTTGCCACAACTTCTCCACCATCCACCACCATCTTTGCCGTCGCCGCCGCCTCCACTACAATTACTCACCCGTCTTTTCTTCTTTTTTCAGCCACCTCACTTTTTTTACTACCACCTTCGCTTTATCTTCAAATTTGTTATTACCGCCGCCATCATTTTCCTCTTTTTTCTTTAAATCTGAACACTACCACCTTGTTCACCGGAATAAATGGAGATCCCGCCCCTCTCTTTCTCTCTCCCTTATCTCTTTTCTTTTAGAAAATAATAGTTAAATAACAAAACAAAAAAATCTAAAATTGGAAAATAATTAAATTAAAAAAGCAGAAGACAAGCAGAAAAAAAGAAAGATCTGGGTCAAAGTCGGCAGCGGGGAGGGTGATGATGGGTTTTAGCTGAAGAAAGGGGGGGTTTCGATGGGTGGGGGTGGGGTTTAGAATTAGCGCTTTTTATTTTCTTTTTTCACTCATATTCATTTTTTAAAATTACTATTTGGACCCAAATACCAAATGTCATCTGTAATTGGTTACTTTGACACATCATTAGCAAGGGTATTACACTCTATTTCTTTGTCGATTATCCAGAAAGTGCTTAATAGGAACATAATTTTAAGTACTAGAAGTGTTCAATTGAACATGGCTTAAATGACTTTGGCCAATACAAAATGTCAAAGTTGATAACTCAATGTAGTAAATACCTCTAATCGCACAGCCGAATTGTTTATTATCCTACACTATACTACTAGTGAACAACAGAATCACCAAAATTGGCTTCAAAGAGATTTCAAAAAAGTCCGAAAATGATAGTACAACCCTATAATTTAAGGTAAACAAATTCCTGGATGGCAGGAATCTCCCCAATCCTCTTGAGTGACTCCTTGCTGGGTTGTTCATCCACCCCAATAGCCATAACAGCTTGTTTTCTTGGAGCAATTCTTCCAACACTCATGAAGCTGACATTCACGTTCTCCTCTCCCAAGACGCTACCAACTTTTCCAATCATTCCTGGCTGATCAACCTGGCTGCAAAGAATGATACTGCCTTCCAAGCTCACATCCACTTCAAAAGATCCAACCTTTGTCAAATGAGGGACTCCATCCTTAACTCTACCCTCCACTCTAATCTCTCCTGAATCAGATATAGCACTGGCAAACTTGGATTCCACATTGGCAATCTGAACCTGAATGAACTCAACTGGACTTTCTGGTGAACCATCTAGAAGAATTCGTTCTTCAGCTATCCGTAGTCCCCTTTGTTTAGCAGTGAAATCTGCATTTACCAGGTTAATGAAAACACTGGAAATAGGCTCAATCAAGCCTTTAGTTATCATGGCACGAAGCAGTCTTGTGTCGAGATCATCAGGTGCTCTAGCTGAACCATATGTTACTTTCACTGATTTCACACCACTTCCACCTGCAACTAGCTGGACAGCAAGTCTACCAAGTTTTTCGGCAAGCACGACATAAGGCTTCAGCTCTGATAGAACCTGCATGAGAGAGTTGGGAAACATTAAAATTCAGACATTTATTTTATCAAAATTCCATGAATCGCTAGCAACTACACCTCAAAAGAAAATAATGTTTCTACATGTTGGTAAGGACTCCTCTACAATAAAGCAGATTGCAGGTTAATTAGAAAAATGAAAGAGGTTCTACATGGGCAGGCTAATTCAGTAAAGGTACTATATCAAGCCTTCTTTTCCCCCCCTCTGGTTTATGAATAATGGAGGGTGATAACTGGTAATTATTGAATGAACTTACCTCAGCAGGAACCATAGGTGCATTGACAGCTGTAGCAGAGAGCTCCCCTTTCAAAGCGCCAACAACTGCTTCCGCTACCTCAATTGCCACGCCTTCCTGGACAATCATCTAAGAGTATTAGTAAATGTGTGACCTAAAAGAAAAGTGTGACACACATGAATGTGTCATGCACAGACCTGAGCTTCCATAGTACTAGCACCAAGATGTGGAGTTGCAGTCACATTATCATGTTGAATCAACTTGCTATCTTTTGGTGGCGGCTCCACAGTGAAAACATCAAGTGCTGCCTGTGACAGGATTTATATGTCAGTATAATTACGTAAGACATTCAAGGAGAAAGTCTATTCTAGAGTCTTAAATCCAGCAATGGAGAGCAAAAGTGGAAGATAACTAAAGACGGCTTTTGAACACTTGATATTCCAACAGACATGAAGGTTGAGGGAAATACAGAGACAGCAATAGTTCAACAAAAAACTAATTCATATGTTTCCAGTGTCTCAAAGATGAAGGAACCAGGACCTGTGCCACAATGCCTGCATCAAGTGCCCTCACCAAAGCTTCTTCATCAATCACACCCCCACGAGCAACATTCACAATCCGTACACCCTTTTTCATCTTTGCAAAAGTTTCATCATTCAGGATCTTCTTTGTAGCAGGGGTGAGGGGCATGTGAAGTGAGATGAAATCAGCAGATGCGAGGGCTTCATCAAAGCTCACAAGTTCCACCCCAATAGCACGTGCACGGTCAGCAGGGGCATATGGGTCATGAGCAATAACATGCATGCCAAGCCCCTTAGCTCGCCTTGCAACTTCTGATCCAACCTTCCCAAAACCCATCACAGCAAGTGTTTTGCCTACCAGGGAGACACCAACATATTTGTTCCTCAGCCATTTCCCTGGATACCATATCATGATTAAAAAAATTCAGAGGTACATCTCCAAATGCAAAAGCAACAAGTATAACAGGGGAACTTATTAGCAGCCATAGAAAACAAAATTTTCAGACAACTATTCCAAACAAATAAATGTCCAGGAAAAGAAAAAGGAAGCTGCTTAAAGACAGATTGGATTGAGGGGTCCGTAATCAGGGTTATGATTAAAAAATATTCAGAGACAAAAAGTGGCTTTAGTGCAGACAACAGACCAAATAACCAATTAGCTGTCAATTATCCTTTATGTACCTTTTTTATGAAGGTGTCAGCTTGTACTCACCTTGAGTCCTTGACCAATACATCCTACAAGCACATGACAGGTGTCGGGCAAACTTGATAACTAAGACAAGAGCAGACAAGCTAATACCAAGGATTGTAGTTTGGGTTTGAATCTGGGATTTTTTTACTGCTTACTCCTATGCCCAAACCAGTCAACCATCCCTCTGGGGATATGTTAGCCATCATTGATGTAATTGTTTCTTCAAAATATATCAACTCTTCCATTCATATTGAGTGCTCATGTAAAATTTTGTGGTTCTAAAGGAGTACGGGGCAACCTTTTCCAAGAATATCATACGGATTTTCTCTTACTCCGAGTATGTTAAGGCTATCCTTTTTTTTTTTTTTGACAAACCTTTCCATCATTGAATCGAGAAACTCAGAGGCCAATCCCACATATAAGCCTATCCAACTCAAAATACACACAAACACACATATCCAGAAATTTTAAGGGAACTTTTAAAACATACATATTTAAGAAATTTTTCTAAAATACATACATATTTTAAGGGTAAACCAAATGACTTTAAATTATAAGTTCACCTCTTTAGAAGGTAAATATAATTAAAAATGGTCTTTACCACAAAGAAATTGCAATACACACTACCATGAAGAATATATGCATACATTTTCATATCCAGATCAACTTAAAATAGATCTGATCAGCTTTGCGAGACCATACTGCATCGCAACTTTCATAAGATATTATTCACATTCAAGAATCAAACTAAGAGAGAATTATATTCATGGGCATGTCATTTCTTCTTAATATCGTAAGAGATACAGGGGACCGGTTGAGTGTTTCACAGCGCCTCTACTGAGTCCGGCTTAAACTATATACATTTAGAGGAAAACTAACTGTTTGAATTAAAAAAGATCAACCTCTAAAAGAGTTATACGTACCGGCTTTGACGGAAGCATCAGCTTGAGCAATATTCCGAGCCATAGCGGTGAGAAGAGCGATGCCATGCTCGGCAGCAGCAACTGTATTAGCAGTGGGCGCATTAACCACTAGGCATCCATGCTCCGTCGCCGCCGCTAGATCAACGTTATCAATCCCGACACCAGCACGCCCAACAACTTTGAGCCGTCCACCGGAAGATTCAAAGATCTCACGGCTCACCTTCGTTCCACTCCGGACAATCAACGCATCACAAAGCGAGATCTTAGTGCACAGCTCCTCGGGGCTCAAATTATATGAGCAATCCACGTTCGCGAATTCCTTTAGAAGGTTCAGCCCTGCCTCCCCGAGTTTCTCGGCGACGAGAACCGTAGGTTTGGCGTCCATGGAGAAAACGACGAACTGACGGTGGCTGCTGCTGCGGCGGAGGGAAACGCCGGAGATGCCTAAGGCGGAGGTGGAAGCGAGTTGGTTTTTCCATGAGAGAGAGGCGCGTGATGATTTTGAAGAGAAAAGGATAGTTGAAGAAGCGGAAGCCGCCATTGTGGTAGACTTACTATCTCCGGCGTAACTCGGTGAGACGGCGGAGATTGCGGCGGCGGAAGGAGTAGGAAAATGAGATGTTGTAAAGGAGGGATTTGGAGAGGTTTTATAAGTGCGACTGACGAGTGACGAGTTGGAAATTGGGAATGAAAGAAGTGAGTGGGATGTGTACACGCGCTTGCATATCCCTAGGAAAAGCAGAGGTATCTTAGTTAGCGTTAAAAGTTTGTTTTCTTCTCTTTTCTTTATGGAAGAAAAGGTTAGGAGCTTTATTTACTCCCCGTTTATGTCATCCATTTTGATTGAGAAAAAGAAAATACTTCTTCTGTTTCATTGTAAATGTTGCCATTACTATAATCTTTTAACTTTTTCATATAATTTTTATGTATAATGAAATTGTATACTATCAAAATCAGAGAAAACCGACTTAGGCTTCTTTGGCAGTTCAAGCCCGGCCTCGATGGGATCAAAGCACGGTCCAAGGCCTGTCCCCAAAGCACTCGTCTCAGCAGGGTACGTCGAAGACTCACCATGGTGTACCTCTAGGCAGTATGAAAATCGACGACCGTCATGGAAAGGCGGGAAACCCCCCGAGGGCATGCGATGAGGACTGACAGAGTCTGCAAGAATAGTACAAATCCGTGTTGAGCCGTTATACAACTGTACTAGTAGCATTTCTTCGTCATTTATTAGACATGTACTGTGTTGAGATTCGTCCCTCATATATAAAGGGGACCCTTGTCATTTTGTAAGGATGCAACATATTGAATACAACACAACATTCTCTGCTATTTGCTTAAACAATTGTTCTACACATTTATTGTTTATTCTTTCATTATTCATTTATTGTTCTTCATTTATTTCTCATTATTAACCGCAAAAGGCCATCTTTGAGGCCTCCATTATCATTGTTTCTTTATCAATAGCTCACTACCAACCGTCCTAAATAGGCCTCGAAGCCTCTGTTCCAGCCAGCTCGAGGCTCGTTTCTATGATAGCTTTGGTTTGCATTTCTTATTTTCTTTATTTACACTTAACACCTGTTGCCTAAAAACTAGTATAAAAATAAATTACGTATTTTTAGAACCACAAAATCAAATATAATTGTAATTACCACTTTCCAGGTAAACAGTTTGGCGCCCACTGTGGGGCTAAAAATAATAGTGATTGTTTTGATGCTAGTTTTTTGTTAACACACGTTACTCTTCACACTTTTTCTTATCAAAGATTCTTTGATTTCAAGCTTAATCATGTTTAGCACACAAAATGCACCTCTTCACAACAGTGATGGACTTGGAGAAAATAACGGCATAGGGCTGGGTGTACCACCTGTAAACCCTGAGGGAGTGCCAAATGTGGAGTCAGTTGATATCAACTCCCACAACGTCCTAAACACGGAAGCAGGCGCAGACCCCGTAAGGAACAGACATAGGGAAGCCCAGGCTGGAGGCTGGAGGCCAAGAAGCACGAGGGATGGAAGAAGGAGGAGTCAGCCTCCAAGTCATTTTTGAAATGTTGCAAGCACAACAAGCAGCTATTTCTCAGCTGCAAAGTCAGCAAAAAACTCCAAGCACGGCAGCACCGGAAATAGCAGCTCGAGTCTAGCAGGCACCAGAGAGATTGAGTAACAACGGGTCAGCATGAGACCGCACTATTATGAAGATGCTTGAGGACCTCACTAAAAGGATTGAATCAGGAGAAAAAAAGATAGAGGCTAATGATAAAAAGGTGGAGACTTATAACTCGAGGGTCGATCAGATCCCAGGCGCACCCCCGATTCTAAAGGGTGTAGATTCAAAGAAGTTCGTGCAGAGACCATTCTCATCGAGTGCAGCTCCGAAGCCCATCCCAAAGAAATTCAGAATGCCCGATGTCATGAAGTATAATAGGACCGCGAATGAGCACATTACCGCTTATACTTGTGTTGTAAAAGGGAATGACTTAAAGGATGACGAGATCGAATCCGTCTTGCTGAGGAAATTTGGAGAAGCACTGTCAAAGGGGGCCATGATGTGGTATCATAACCTACCCCCGAACTCGATGGATTCATTTGCCATGTTGGCAGATTCTTTTGTGAAGGTGCATGCCGGTGCCATCAAGGTTGCTACAAGGAAGTCCGACGTCTTCAAGATCAAATAAAAGGAGAACGAGATGCTGAGGGAATTCGTATCTCGTTTCCAGATGGAGAGAATGGAATTGACATCGGTCTCCGATGACTGGGCAGTGCATGCCTTCACTCAAGGCTTGAACGAACGAAGCTCGACAACTTCGAAGCAGCTAAAGCAGAACTTGGTTGAGCATCCCGCCGTGACTTGGGCAGATGTACACAACAGCTATCAATCAAAGATCAGGGTCGAGGACGACCAATTGGGAGCCCCCTCTGGCTTAGTATATCCAAATAGGCTCCTAGTAAAGGAATCAAAGTCTATAGAAAAGGAGTCGAGATCAGGCAAAGAAAGGTATCAGCCATACTTCAAAGATCAAAGAGATATTTTAAGGTAAAATGTACCTCGAAATGATCGAGGAGTAGATCGAGGCCAAAAATCCCGTATGAGCAAGACCGGGTTCGACAGGCATTTGAGGCTAGTGGAGGCACCCCCATTGTCAGAATACAACTTCAACATCGATGTCTCGGACATCTTATCAGCTATGGGTAGAATCAAGGATACCAGATGGCCAAAACTCGGACAGTTAGATCCTTCCCGAAGGAAACCCAACCTGATGTGCAAGTACCATGGCATCCACGGTCATAGGACCAAGGATTGTAGGCAGCTCCGAGAGGAGGTGGCTCGGCTAATCAACGAAGGGCACCTTCTAGAATTCCTTAGCAATCGAGCCAAGAACCACTTTCGAGAAAGAGAGGCGAAGGAAGAATGAACCAGAAGAACAATAGCATGTCATCCACATGATCGTTGGAGGGGTCGACGCCCCCACATAGAGTCGTTATCAAGCGGACAAAAATATTCATCACCAGGGAAAAGCGAACTCGGAGTTACATACCAGAGGATGCTCTCACATTCAGCGAAGAGGACATCGAGACCTTATCTCAACCCCATAATGATGCACTAGTAATTTCTTTTCTTTTGAATAAATTTCAAATTAAACGTGTGCTCGTAGATCCAGGTAGCTCGACCAACATAATCAGGTCGAGGGTGGTAGAGCACCTCGGACTGCTCGACTAGATCGTACCCGCCTCCCGAGTCCTCAATGGATTCAACATGGCAAGCGAGGCAACGAAAGGGGAGATCATCCTCCCGGTTGACGTGGCCGGTACAACCCAAGATACCAAGTTTCATGTCATTGAAGGTGACATGAGATACAATGCCTTACTTGGAAGGCCGTGGATACACAGTATAAGGGTAGTACCATCAACCCTTCATCAAATGATGAAATTTCCAACCAAGGATGGAGTAAAAGTAGTATACGGGGAGCAGCATGCAGCAAAAGAGATGTTCGCGGTGCACGATATGGCACCAACATAGATGCCGAAAGATAACCAACATTCTCGACAACATCCAAATAGATGAATAAAGGACAGTGCCGTGTCCTCGGAGCAAGCGATGAGAACGTACCGAGGCTCAAACGTTATCATTGCTAAGGTACAACCCTCTCCCTTTTCATTTATGTTTTATACTAACTTGTTGCATGTGTTCGATTGAGAGGAATCGAGGTGCCCTCCATCTTGAATACCTTAGGTTTTAAAGCATGCATTGCGCTCTTTTTCCCTTAGACCAAGTTTTATCCCAAATGGGTTTTACCTGTGAGGTTTTTAACGAGGCAACATCCATGTGCTACCTAAGGAGAACTCATCAAGTATCTGAGGCTTCTCTTTGATCTACCTCAAATACTAGGGGGCATCACCCCGAGAGGTAGCCTCTTCAAAACTCAAACTATACCTAGGAGGACCTCGATAGGAGAATGATGTATTGGGCCAAACGGTCGAATGAACCATGTCCATATAGAATAATTGGGCCTTCAAAGGCAAAAAACATGTACGCATACATCAAATAATTGAGGAAGCCTCTTTGCTTATCAAAACACTCAAGAAATTCAATACTTTCACGCAAAACGGCTCAAGGGCCAAAAATCCTTGAACACTCGGGGACTGTTATTGACGTGAACACTCGGGGACTGTTATTGACAGTCAGCTCGTCGAAGCTATCAAAACTCGAATTCGTAAAACCTCAATAAGGCAATTTCAAGCTCGTAAGACCTCAGTGAGGCCGCATCGAATCCGTATGACCTCAGTGAGGCATGCCCAATAAGGCAGTACCAAGCTTATAAGACCTCAACGAGGCATACTCAAATTTATAAGACCTCAATGAGGCAATACCAAGCTTATAAGACCTCAATGAGGCATACTCAAATTTATAAGACCGCAATGAGGCAATACCGAGCTTATGAGACCTCAACGAGGCGTACTCAAATTTATAAGACCTTAAAAAGGCATAACCCCAATATGAAGGCCAAGGATATATATTTGAACTTGTAAGGCCCCTAAAAAATAATACCCTCGATATGTACGCCAAGGTCACCGCACCCGGGGATTAAAGGCTATGGCTGAACAAAAAGACTACGGTTATATCAAAGGCTCCGGCTGAAATAACGCGGCTCGACGTCCGATCACTGCCATAAAATTAAAGGCCTCCAAATACTTTAAACTTCAAAAAGAACCAGTTAATCAAACTACCCTCAGCATAAGCAAATGAGCTTCGATAATATCAACTCCGAATAATAAAGGGGCTTCAAAAACAATCGGCCTCATATGAAAAGGCTTCGAAAATTCAGCCTTCGAGTGAACCTCCCGAGGCACTCGGCTATCGTCACATATCAACTCATAATCGAGGTTCTCATTTGAGTTGTCGAAGAGCCGGACGAATATAAACATCCCAAGGCATAATCAAAACTTCAAAAGTCTTTAGCCAAAATAAGGGAAAACTATAGCCATATTAGAGGTCGCATCGACCCAATCTAAAAAGAGCTTAAGGGCCAATGCGTAAGAGCCTAAGGTACAACCTAAAAGAGCATAAGGGCCAACCTAAAAGAGCCTAAGGGCCAATGCATAAGAGCCTAAAGGCCAGCCTAAAAGAGCCTAAGGGCCAATGCGTAAGAGCCTAAAGGCCAGCC